CCACCTAATTAATGTGCTTAGTGTGGCCGCATACATTCGACTTTATACAATCTGTTTCCAAAATTCAAATTATATAAATTCGGATTAATCCCGTAGTGTAGACATACCCACAGTCAGGTAAGTATTTGGATAGGGATCACCAAATAGCACTTCAAGCCTTGTCTACACCATGAGCTTACATATGGAGGTATGTCAGGGGATTGAAAAGGTGGCTGCAACACCAAAACTGTTATGTAGACAGCAGGGTATGTGGTACAGGAAATGGTACTGGAGATTCCTTCCAAATCTGTATTGAACCAATATCCTACCTTGGCACTGGGGAACTCTGTTGCTAGCAGGCTTTATAGATACAACAAATACATTTTGGAGCTTAGTATGTTTTAAGCACAGAGTCCTGACCAAACTTCACTCAGTATATTTCATTTTTCCTTCCTACTTCTCCATTTCCTGGTCTGAGCGGTCTAACAACTCACAGCAATACTTCTCAACAGCTCATGCAATTCTAGTCCACAGATGGCTGGCTTTTTTAGGAGTGCGTGAAATGAACCCTATACCTAGCTTAGGGAATGTCTACACTACAGTAATACGGTTATAACATTCTCTGAGAGGTGGGAACTGGGTTGATGGAAGAACTCTAGCTATACCTACACCGGGGGTTAAGTCAACTTAACTATGGCATTCAGGGCATGACATTTTTCACAGCCTGAGCAATGTAGTTAGGTTGATCTAATTTTTAAGTGTAGCCCAGGCCTTACTGGGGCTCTTCATGCTCACAAGGCATTTTGAGATCCTTGGATGAAAGAGTCCCCATCAGTGCAGGAATCCATTATAATATTGCTAGTTTGTCTGTGCCACCGCTTTTATTTTATGTACATGCAGTCAAGAGTGTACAGAAAAATCTATTTCCTGGTGGCAACTGAAGGCACTGTGGGGTTGTGATAGCTGTAAGCCTAGGTTTGAAAGATGCACGAACAGGCATAATGTTCTGTGTGTGCTTAGGGTGACCAGGTGTCCGGTTTGGGATTGGAACATCCAGTCAAAAAGGGACCCTGGTGGCTCTGGTCAGCACTGCTGACTGGGCAGCTCCCAGGTTGGAAAGCAGCTGGCATGTCTGGCTCCTAGCCTTAGGAGTGGCCAGGGGGGTCCACGTGCTGCCCCGCCCCTGGACAGCTTCAATTCGTTGGGTCAGGGCAGGGGAGGAACTAGCACGAGCGCGACTCACGAGTGCTCAGCAGGCGGCTGTTGAGGGGTCGCGTGGCATGCACCTCTCCTGCTGCTGCCTGGCCCTCTTCTCCTCACAGTCCTCGTGTGGCTGGGCTTGAGCTGCAGCACATGCCATGCGGCGAACCGCGGTCTGTCTGTCCCCCCCATTGCCGGCACCCAGGAGTTCGAGGTATGTGTACCCAGCATTCGGAGATGGGGCTGCACCCCATCCCCCTGCACCACATCCCTCCCCAACCCCACCCCCCCCCGCACCCTTATCCCCCTCATTGCATCCCTCCACCATCCCATCCTGCCCCCCACACCTACCCATCCCAACCCTGTACCCCTTACAGTGCTCTCCCACCCATCCTCTCCACCTCTCAGAGCCGCTACCCTCATGTCTCTCACCCCCCACAGCCCTGCACCCCAGTCACCTCCATACCCGCTGCACTCCCATTATGTTCCTAAACACCCCTGTGCCCCCCCATCCTCATGCACTTGTAGCCTTCTGCCTCCCCTGCATCCCCATCCACCCCACATACTCCCCCCCCCCCCCCCCCCCCCCCCCCCCCCCCCCCCCCCCCCCCCCCCACCCCCCCCCCCCCCCCCCCCCCCCCCCCCCCCCCCCCCCCCCCCCCCCACCCCCCCCCCCCCCCCCCACCCCCCCCCCCCCCCCCCCCCCCCCCC